TGGCATTGGAACCGTGCTTCGACAATAAAGTGTGGGTTAATCTCACCAAGCAACATGGGACTCGGTGAGCTCCCAGGGCCCAAGCGTACGATCCGATTGCTTTTACTTGCAGATATAGATCCCCTAATGCGGACAGAAGTTCCTGAATCCGTAACGTCCCGTATGACGTCACGTCACGTGCCGTCACATGTCGTTACAAGCCAGGCCGGACAAACCATGGCTCACGTCTGGCAACGGCTGAGATCATTATTATGTCATCCAAACGCTTACGGTTTTCATCAGACTAGACTGCAAAACTCTCACTATTCTCACCCAGCCGAGCTTAGTGTCACATTCGTCAATGCTGCGCAAGGTGTGGTGAATTTCGCTGCAAATCCCACATGACGCAACCTTCAGCCATCCAACACGCAAGAGCTTGCAGCAGATGGCCAGCTCTGCTTGTATAAGCATCGTGCCCCCCTGTCTTACAGCAAGATACCTGTGCTAATGTGAACACAGCTGCAGCATATGGGGCTGGTTTCCACTAGCTCGAGGATTTTATGTCCCTCCTTTACATGTTCCCATGACGAACCATGCCTCACCATAAGTGACTTTCGTTGGATGGACAAGTTTATTAAGAGAGAATGAGGCTGCTGAAGATTGCTTTTCCGTAGTAACTTTTGATATACGAGACGTGTATTTCTATAGAATTATGAAATATGACAGGTTAGGCAAACGAGGGCGATGAAAAATGTCCACTGAAAGGTTTTCCCCATGGCTCAATCGATCTTCTCCTAGTTCAAAAGTTGTCTGGTTTACCGTTCTCACGCCAGCACATCCTGCGAATTTTAACATCAGCGTGGGCCCAATGACATAGCGATGCATTAAAGTGACATCGAAACTTTGCCTGCACCTTAGGCCACAGGTCTGTGGCAGTGCCGGGCGAAGTACAAAGCGCAGAGGCGATGAACTTATTAATGTTTTGCGTTTGCTGTTGTTGAAAAGGTCCTGTTTGAAATAATGCTTCCTTTTTCTGAAAAAAATGCGGTGAAGAACGCAGGAGGGGGTCTAAATTTTGCAAATTTTGCAATTGAGGGGGTCTAAATACAGGGTTTGGGGCGGGGGAGGGGGTTGCGGCGCTGGGGGGCTAGCTCATTCTTTCCGCACCTCACCTTGCCGTAACACCTCGGCATGCATTGTATCGATTCCGGCGGGCGAGGTTTCAAGCAGATGATTGTTATCTGAGCTGGCTTCATTGAGGCCAACATTTCAAACACACATGTGGGACATTCATTACGGTAAAGAGCTTAAGGAGAGTGTGCTACCCGTTTTGTGTTCTTAACTTATTGCTAGATCATGCAGGTTCAATTTGATTGGTGATCCCAGTTTTCTTTAAATCCTTCTGAATAGCTCATAGTTCCTATTTGAAGACGTCACTCCGTTCTGAGATATCTTATTGGACACTATGCTCATCACTATGAAAGTAGGGCTTTTTTGTTTCCCTTGCCTTTCACAGCGTATGTGTTCCGTAATGCCTACAATACGCCGACTGATCCAAACGCTGGTTCAATAAATGCTATGAAGGCCTGGAACACTTTATTTAAGGAAAAATATATACACATATTAGTCCTATTATCGCGCGAATTCAGACATATGATACTATGGATTTGATTTTTGCTCTGGTGTTTAGCGCAGCGACTTTTTTCGACCCGCACTTGGTCTCGGGAAACGCATGACACGGCCTATAGTGAAGCGTTAGTCACGCGACGCAAACCAATACATTTTCTGTAAATGACCTTTGCCGCCCGCTGTGCCAATCACAAACGTTCAGTTGAACTGGCGTCATTCATACCAGTAGGAATGTCAATTTAAGATACAAAGACCCGCAACGTGCGGCCAAAACAGCTCAAAAGTTGCATCTTTGGTCCGTGACAGCCGATAACGGTTCTCAGCGGATTATGCCGTATTTAACTGCGGCGGGCAAAAGCCACATTATGAGGCTGCTAATAAAGAAAGAAGTGTAGTGCTGTAGCATAACGTTAAAAGCGCCTCACTTAATTTTAAGGGTGATGCAGTCGCAATACCCAGTGTTATCAGCGTACATAACTAGTCCTGAGGTTTCATTGGAGTATGTTTTTGTATCACGCCCGAAAGGTGGGACACCCATTTTAGTAAACGGGAACTTTTTTATTCTCACTGGTTTTGCTTTTCATTTACGATATTTTTACATTTCGACGTTACAAATAAACTCCCAAGGTTTTTCTGGAAGGTAGTAACCATCCTCGTAAGTCAAAGTCATACTTAAAAGCTAAATCTATACTTGCAAGTCCGAATCATATATGCAAGCAAGCAATTTTTGGATAAGCGGTCGACGCAAAATCTTAAAAAATGTAACTTATAGTTATAGAGCTATACTAAAGCGTTGCATCTCCGAATTGGTGCGTCTCACCTACAGCATCTGGTCTCTGACTACCCCCGGCGAAATATCTTACCAGCGAGCAGCTGTTCGAAATCACTCAGATTAAAATTCGAGCTTTTATCTCATATATCTTCCACCAGACGGGCTCCCCACCTCCTTCAATCGCCTAAGCAGTATTATTATGGATTTTCGATCGAAAACGTGATCGGTAATAGGGTACCATCCGTTATATAACCACCATGTCAGTGAGTTCAGCACCGCGACCAATGTGTGCCTTGCTTATTCAAAGGGCGTTGGCTTTTTTTAGCAATTACAGTGTCAGCCTAGCAACATTGCACGCCCGTTTTAGGTGCCTACTGCATATGTAAAAGCACATCAGGTAGATGAATAGGTCCCGTAACTTAAATAAATTTGTAGCGCAAATTTATTTCAGTTATCCAATGAATTTATATCCCATTGAAGGCGGTAACATCATTGCCATTGATCACTGGCCAGGCGACGGTGGGTATTCGCGATTTGTGTTCGACGTGTGCTGATTACAATGACTTCAACTGTCGCGTTCTTTCATAATTTTCGCACGAGCGCCTCGACAGTTGACAACTCTGACTAAGCTAGTGCTGGGCGCTTCTGTTGCAGTAGTGGCGCATTTCTGATGTACATTTCTGCAAAAGGCACCCAGATAACCGCAAATCCCATTTCTGTGAGGCTGCGGGAGCATCTGAGCGCGCAGGGCCTGCCGCGGTTGGCCGCGGTCGGACCTTGGGTCAGCAGGCGCCCGCCAATGGCCGGCGGCGGTAGATCACGTGACCGAGCGTTGAGGGCTGAGAACGGCTCGGGGCGCGCAAATGAAGGATCGGGGCAGCCGTCGCTGAAGGAGTGTCGTGGCCCGCGCTGCACCGCAAATACAAGATGAAGAAACACAGGCTTACATTTACAGGCTTACATTATGGCACTGAATTGCGTGCCACCGCTAATTCAGGCACCGCTAATTAGCGGTGCCACCGCTAATTCAGTGCCCATAATTGACATCGGCGTGGTTTGTTTTGATTTGGTTCACGATCCCCGCAGCGAGGACATCGCGGTTGATCCTCCCACATAACAGGTGTCGGTGAGTTGCGTATATGTGTGTCCTATTCTCAGGCGGCATAGCGTCACTTCATCCCGCCTCATCTTGCGACAGCTGGACGCCCATGATCCCAACCGAGGCTTTGTCTCTCTCAGTTTATTGCCAGACCGCTTGCAGAAGTGCCCCAGATAAGTTTCAGTTGTAGGATATAAAAGACCGATGGGAGAAAATTTTGGTTTGGTACAGCAGGGAAAGACATACACTTCATACTAATCTCGCCCCACCCCATATTTACGTATGTACGTGCCACCTTAATTCGCCTCTGTTTCACTAGGGATGTGCTGCGATGGCATAACCGCTAGGTGATCAATGAAATCGGTTACAGATGAGCGGAAATCTGATCTATTTCCTCCGTAATATTTTCCTTCACATCAATCCTTGTCACCTCCTTCATCGCACTGTTGCCATGCTTTGGTATCTAGCACCGGATAAACGGTCGGTGGCAGGTAAACGGTACTACGGGCAAGGATTCACAGATTGCAGCGTAGAAGCCAATAACGTCTATGATAGCCTTACACGTCCTACACATCGACATCAACATAATATCATCGAGTGTGCAAAGGGCATGGCTAATCATTAGGTAGGTGTGGACCGTACAAATCTTCTTGCCGTTCAAAATGTCGACCTTCAATATTGAAAGGTCATCTAAGTATGCATGCCTCCGAGATGGCTACGACTCTAACCTGATATGAACCCACAGATAACGTCTGTAGATACTTAAAGGTGAATTGGAATGCGAAAACTTGCAGGCTATACCACATTGTTTGTGAGAAAAGGCCACCAAATTGCTGATGAGAAAAAGTCGCCAAATTTCGGCCGTCCAGCCGGGATAGCTTAATGGGGGGCCATGTTGCACGCAATGAATGGAGTGCAGTTTTGGACGGAAGGAGCACGAGTTACACGTTGGTCTCCCACATTGCGTGCAAATAACACCTGGCGTGGAGAACATTTCAATGTCATGTGCCTTATCAGCAATCGCAGCTATAAAAAAAAAATGGTGTTTTATGTCTGGTGCTCGGTTGTGTCCGGCAGGTGGTAAAGGCGTTGATTCCAGTGCCCTTTGGCCGATCGACGACGCGGCAACCACGTCCTGCTGGGCCCCATCACGCGCGGCCCTGACCCTGAGCAAGCAGGCCGCAGCTGCTCGTCGCCCAGCTCGGCGCGTGACCACGTGATCGTCACACCGCCTCGAGGTCGACACTTGCTGTTGGGGTGGGACTGAGTGAAAAACTCCGGATACGTCACCTGCGATGCTGCTATGAGTGCAGCTAGTTGAGTCACACCTGACCTTCGAAGCAGGAAATGGCCAGTGACCCCGCGACACTGATGACCTCCAGCAACGCGTCGCTGCTCGGGGTCCACGCGTCACTGCTCGGGAATCAACGCGTCGCTGCTCGGGGTCAACAGTTCGCTGCTGGAGGTCAACAGGTCGCAGCTCAGTGTCAGCGAACTGCTGCCAGAGGTCAACGCATCGACATGTCTGGCGTATCAAAGGTCACACGAGGTCACACCGCTGTGGACTCAGCTTTGCTCACGACTGCGTCTGCCCTGCACGACGACATCACGCCGCTGGAGTACCGCACGTGGCACTGCTTCGAAACGCCGCCAGACCTGCCGTTCCTGACCGTCGCCTGGGTCGGCTACTCGATCTCTTCGTCGCCGGCCTCACCGGCAACACCCGTCTGCTACGTCGTCTTTTCCGCGACGCGCATGCGCACCGTCACCAACATCCTTATCGCCAACATGGCGGCCGGCGACCTGCTCATTGCCTGCCTCTGCATGCCCTTCACGTTCCCCACCTTGGTCGTGTCGGCTTCTGGCCCTTCGGGGACGCGCCTCTGTCGCGGCGTGTCCTTCGCGCAGGCGGTTTCCGTCTTCGTGTCGGCGGTACACGCTTCGTGGCCATCTCTGCAGACCGCTACACGGCCATCGTGCACCCGCTGGTGTCGCGCGGCTCGCGGCTGCGGACGCGCATCGTGCTGCTGGCGTGTGGATGTTGGCCCTCTCCACCTGCGTGCCTATCGCCGTCACGTCTCGCGCGGACGTGCCAGAGGCCGGAGCGCCACTTCTCGCCATGCACGAGCACTGCGTCTGCCAGGAGGTGGGTACGTGGCGCACGTGGCGGCTAGGGTGGGCGCGGGCCTCAGATGAGGGCGGTGAGTGGTGGTGGCGCTGGGGGAGAGGCGGATCAGGGGGCACAGAAAGGCCCTCAGCAGGGGAGTCCTGATAGTATGGCAGGGAAAGTGCGCCCGCCTTTACGAGTTATCCACGACATCGTACCTTTCGCTTCCTTGCCTCCCTCTTTCAACCTGGTGGGAGCAAAATGACACCAACAACAAACGACCACCAACCGGCTATTTTTTATCCTGACCCTGGAACATACAGCGTGAATGTGTGAACATAACGTCTTATGGCTCATTTATGCAGCGTAACGGGCATCCAACTCATTGTAGCATGCTGTCCGTAAGGCTCACTGCTCACAGATGCTACAACCAGCAGCCCTGTAAGCTGTGAATATGGTTGTCGTGCGGAAAGCTATGCGAACAGTACAGCTACGTTTGATCGATTCCAGGCGATGTTTCCCCGTGAGGCAATGACCCTGACCTCCTGACCACGGGTGAGCACAGGTGCTCTGCCAACAGGTGTTGGAAGCGACGAGACAACAGACCTTGACCGCATAAGCCCTGGCGCTGTGCCGACAGGTGTGGGAAGGGGACGGGACTACAGATCCTGACCTCCTGACCCCGGTGCTGTGCCGACAGGTGTCGGAGGCGACGAGACAACAGACCCTGACTTCCGACCCCCGTAGTCACACCGACTGGTGTGGCAGAGGACGGGACTACATTTCCTGACCTCCTGACCCCCGGCGCTGTGCCGGCAGGTGTGGGAGGGGAACGGGCGGCGCTACTACACGGTGGTGGTGATGTTGCTGCAGTACTTCCTGCCGGTGACCGTGCTGGCCGTGACGTACGGCAGGATCGCGCTGGAAGTGTGGGGTCGTAGCTCGCCCTTCATCAGGAGTCAGGATGTCAGGGAGATCAGGCTGGCGCGCGCCAAGCGGAAGGTGAGCACGCACGCTTGGAGGGCTCGCCAAGCGGAAGGTGAGCACGCACGCTTGAAGGGCTCGCCAAGCGGAAGGTGAGCACGCACGCTTGGGGGGCTCGCCAAGCGGAAGGTGAGCACGCACGCCTGGAGGGCTCGCTAAGCGGAAGGTGAGCACGCAAGCTTAGAGGGCTCGTCAAACGGAAGATGAGCACGCACGCTTGGTGAGCCCGCGGCCAGTGGCATGGAGAACCATGGTGGTCGATGGTCGTCTCAGCGGGTATTAAAGCCATGCCAATGTTCAATGTATTGACTATGAGTCAATGTATTGATCGTTCGATGATCCCGCACGCCGCGGCCGCTTCGCGGAGCATGACTGGTACTTCCCCCGAATAATTTATCATCCGATGTGTTTGGAGTAAATGCGTCTTGCGTTGTGAGAAGTAAATACAATAAACGGTAAACGTGATGGAGGTGATAATTATATTAGGAGGGCGTATAATATATCACGTTTTGTTAGCATGCATCTCTCTCTATCTATCTAACTCTTTAAATATTTGTACAAGGATAGTATATTTGCATATATATATATATATATATATATATATCTATATATATATATATATATATATATATATATATATATAGATATTATATATAATATATATATATATATATATTATGTATACACTACTCTCTCTTTCTCTATCTCTCTCTCTCTCTCTCTCTCTCTCTCTCTCCTCTTCTCTCTCTCTCTCTCTCCCTCTCTCTCTCTCTCCTCTCTCTCTCCTCTCTCTCTCTCTCTCTCTCTCTCTCTCTCTCTCTCTCTCTCTCTCTCTCTCTCTCTCTCTCTCTCTCTTCCTCTCTCGTTCTCTCTTCCTCATCTCTCTAAAAAAAAAATTGAGCACAACTTCCCATCCCAAAGAAAGGTTTCACAATCATGCATACGGAGCAAAACTAGTCAAGTCAAAGTACGCGCGATTTACCTTCAATGAATGTCGTGGGGGTGAGAGGTACCACAGCCTTCCAAGTTCATTCTTCACGACCTTCACCCTGGATTACTTTTCACTGGCATTGCGAACTGTTGTCCGGCGATGTTATTAATGCCTTGAAGAAGTGAAGTCAACACTGTGTTTGGTCGTGCCCTTACTTCAGGCCTATAAATGGATCCAATTTCGTATACGGTGTGCTTCGAAGTCTGCACGACAGATGGCACTGACATCGTTCTTTGTTCGCGACTTTACCAGCAAAGAATGGATTTCTGCCCGAAATTGAAACGAGCTAGTGGTGGATGGAAATGCAAGCCAACAGACATCGCCGCTCGACTGATCAAACTCGTTCATCCTCAGTTTGTGCCATGCAATCACGCGACACCAGCAGTAATTCATCAGCGGAAAAGTTACCAGGGCCATCTGTATTCTGAGTGAAGTGAGGGTTTCGCTTAGAGTCTGACCCAGAGTGAGCAGGGAGGAGGGCCCTGGGTCCAGCCCAGTCATCAATCTCTCGCACAGCTGACTCAGAGAACTGCGGA